AATTCAGGGATCCTCCACTCCTCAAGTCGTTTTTGTATATCCAATAGTACTTAGGGGTCCCCAGACACAAATTCTTTTTTAATATTCCAGTCTCGTGGTTAGAAGGTAAATATGTATAGTTCAACATTTATTTCCCGTCATTTCAATATTTACTCCCAAGTTGCAAAAATTCACTGTCATCAGTAGATGGTGCTCTTTATTTCATTCTGCTACCTCTCTGCTTTTATTTTGTTTCTTTATTTTGCTCTGCTTTTATTTTGACAAGTCCAATTTATTTATCTTGCTTAGTTTAACTTATAACTCCATTACTTATGGCAAATTATTTGAAAAAAATGTAGGTTCATAGTTCCAGCATCTTAATATGCCTTCTTAATATCACGCCTTTTGTTTTGAGGATTCCATTTCCAACTACTTTTCTTTTTAAACAAATATTTATTTCTTTAAATTTCCAATATGCATTTTCACAATAGTTACACACCGTTGTAACAAATTGTTCTAAAAGGTATTCCCCTTAAATTTTTGGGAGGTCCGGCTTCAGCTGTAAATCTTTTCTTATCCAGATGACACACCATTCACCATTTATCTGTTCCTGCACAAACTTATGGTTTCTGGATGTTCCCCAGCTTCATGGCAACCATTTTAACTGCCACTACTCCTAATCTTCGAATGAGGGGTTTTCCAAGTCAGTGAGGGGAGATGCAGCTCCCCTCAACCTGCAAGGTGGTCCCCCTTTGCTTCACCATCCCTACAGGGTGGCTATGGCTTCAAATGAAGCCCCAACAGGGAGAGCTAGGATAGACCTGTGGAGGTCGTGGATCTCACTTCCAAAGGCACTGGAAGTTCAACTGGAAGATCTCTCCAAAGGAGTCTTTGAGGGCTGAATGCTGAGAGGCATGGATTTCCTCTATCTTCTGTGTTCTAACACCATGCTGAAGCAAACCAAACAGGCTGGGGTCTCCCTCCCTGTTAAGCGGCCCAGCCAAGCCTGCCTACGAGCTCCACCAAGCATTCCAAACGTTCCAAACGTTCGGCTCGCACGTCCCTCCTGGCCAGTGCCAGTGGAGGGAGGGATAGATAGAGGAGACAGAGAGAGAGGGGAGGGAAAGAGGGAGGGAAGGAAGGAGAGATGGAGGGAAAGAGAACAGAGAGAGAAAATGGGGAAGAGAGAGACAGAGAAAGAGAGAGGAAGGGAAAGAGAAAGAGAGAAGGAGGGAGAGAGAGAGAAACAAAGAGAGGGACGGAGGAAAAGAGAGAGAGAGAGAGGGTGAAAGTGAGAGAGAAACAGAGAGAGGCAGAGAAGCAGATAGAGAGAGAGGGAGAGAAAGAAAAAGAGAGAGAAAGACAGAGAGGAGAAGAGAGAGGGAGGGAAAGAGAAACAGACAGACGTAGAGAGAAAAGGAAAAAGAGAGAAAGTCAGACACAGAGAGGGAGGAAAAGAGGGAGAGAGAAACAGAGAGAGACAGATAGAGAGGAAGGGAGGGAAAGAGAGAGGGAGGAAAGAGAAAGAGAGGGAGGGAAAGAGAAAGAGAGAAATACAGGGGGAAGAGGGAGGGAGAGAAAGAGAGAAGCAGAGAGGCAGAGAGAGAAAGGGAAAGAGAGAAAGACAGAGACAGAGACGGAGGGAAACAGAGAGAAACAGAGAGGCAGTTAGAGAGAGAGGGAGGGAAAGAGAGAGAGAGGGGGGAAAGAGAGAGAGGGACGGAGGGAAAAAAAGAGAGAAACAGAGAGAGGCAGAGAGATGGGGGAGGGAAAGAGAGAGAGAAAGAGATGGGGGAAGAGAGAGGGGGAAGAGAGAGGGAGGGAGGGAAAGAAAGAGAAAGAGAGAGGGAAAGAGAGAGAGAGAAACAGAGACATGGAGGGAAAGAGAGAGAGAAAGAGAGGGGGAAGATAAATGATATTACAAAAGTTTTTCTTTTTTAATGTTGCTAAACGTAATATTTCAACAGCAGAAAAAAATGAATGGGCATAAAAGTGCATTTATCACATTTTTCTTAGAACAATTAGCTGAACTCTGCCTTGTTTACCATTATTTTAGGTAGTAAAACCTCATTATTCAGGTTAAATTGCCTTATTTTGCGATAAATAAGTGGGTTTTGGATTGCAGTTTGGTACTCCGTCTCTAAAAGGTTTGCCATCACTGGCATAGGGTTTTCTGCTTAACCAGGGGAGTTGGACTAGAAGACCTCCAAGGTCCCTCCAACTCTGTTATTTTGTTAAATCAATCTATACCCAATAAAGACTATTCCTTCAAGGCAGTAGTCATTAGACTATTTTAATAGACATTTGGGCTATCTTCACATTTTGGGTCATGTGATGCAAATGGAGGATGGATGAGAGGGGAAACTATATTTGCCAAGGAAAAAAGAATAGAAAGATGAATCATATTGATTATAGGACTGTACTTGAAAGAACTACAAATCAGAGGCTATCAAGCATTTGCCAATGTTGTCACTAGAGCTGAATCAATTGGATCATACAACAAGTTAAATTTGTAGAGAAAATTGACCTTGGTAATCAAATGTATTTGATATTGTCAGATGGAAATTGTTTTTATAAACAAGGACACAATTTTGTTAGTATTTTGTGTATATTAGATTACATTTAAATAAAATTATGCTTACACTCTAATGAGAGAAATTAATAACTGACAATCCAATACTTTCCTTTAGAGACATAATCTGTTTAATAAATATGACTGTAAAATCAATAAACAATAGCAATTATACATTACACTACATTGTATCCAACCAAGAGAGGAAATTACATCAAAAAGTCATTTCAAAATTAGCAATAGTTCAATGCTATAAGAAAAGAAATCAAATTTATTTCCTATAAAAATAACACCACTAATATTGGACTTCTATCCATTAGAATTGTGAGAATTATTGTATAGTGATCTCTCATTATTTCTCCATACCCCGACAGATACACCGATGGATACACATAATTTGCATCTGATAGGAAAAGGTATAGAAGAATTCCAGAGATTTATCAATATTATTTTATAGTTACCTACTTTTTCTGTTTTGAGACTATGGATAGTATTCTGTCCTTGTTATGTGAAAAAAATATGGATTCTGTTCTGATGCACTACATCCCTAATTTCTTAGCATTACAATAAGCCAAATATTATTCTCACTCTATATTTCATATATTCACATGTAGCAATTTGGGCCTTAGTATTAAAATGGACTTCAGAAAATAATGAGATTGAAGATTGAAATTAAATGATTTTTTTTAATTTTTAGGGGAAATATTTAAGTAATTAACCCTATTATTTAAATAATTGGACCTCAAAAAAATTGCTTGTGTATTTCTTGATTTAAAACTGAAAATAGTGTTAGTATAATACTGAAGCTTTCCTTATGGCCAGTTGTTTTTCCAAACCTGCACCAATGTTTTGTTTGGGTGGGAGGCATCTATAAGGCAGCAAAGCAACATCGTGACTCATGGGAGCAGAAACTCGACTTGCTGAAATAACATGAAAAATATCCAATATGGTTTTCCAAATTAATTTTTAGAAATATTGAGTTATGGGCTTAACTGCTTTTCAAATCATTCATATAACCAAATGCTGCACAGGAAAGGGCACTAGCTTTTTATTTTTAATCATCCTCCTGAAAGGATTCTGTGCATTAGTGCATTATGTGGTACACTAGCAGCTTAATTTAGGATATTTGAGCTCTATTTTACTCAATCTCACTGGCAGTAAGAATACATGTGCAGCCTTAATAACAGAGCTGTGCCAAAACAATCACATCAGCATCTTATATTAGGAAAACTTATCTTGCCAGTTTCAATTCCAGTAAAAGAGGATATTTATAAATATCATCCATTGATGGAAGATGAGGCATACCAAAGCCTGTTGCCCAGGCAACAGCTTCTCATTAGGTAATGATTACAAGATTTGCAATAAATATCCATATAACAGTGCTGATGCCAGCAGCTTACTAGAGTGCATTTCCGACCTCATAGCCCCTCAGTGTTTGCTAGAATTAAGGATTTGACCTTTAAAACTGGCATAAATCTGAAGTAATCTAAGTTAAATGATGTTTAAATTAAGCTTAAGAAAACCTGTCATATTATAAAAATCTGAAACAATGTATCTCAGTGGATCATTTTTCATTTTCCCCTGCATATATGGAATTTCATTAATTTTATTATAAATAGCAATTACCATATTAATAATCATACTTATTAATACAGTCACATTTTAGTATTCATTTTGAAGTTCAAAGTTTCATAACACTTTTTTTAAAGTTTTAAGCGTAAGTATTCAAATATCTAGCTGTTGAATTTTTTTAATATTGTTTGAAAACAAAAATATAAACCAGATTAATTATTTAAATTCATTTAGAAATTAATAACTATAGTTAATAACCTTAACTATAAAGTCCTCAATTATGATCCTTCTGAATGCTATCATACCACTGGATATGTTTTAAAATATCTAATAATAGGAATAATATAACTTCCAAAAATTAATAGAAATTCCAGTGCTTTGGAAAACAGTTTCATTGGACTAACTTACTTACCTGGGTAAGTGAGGTAGATATTTTACTAGTATTTTACATCTTTGTATTATACCTCAATCAACACTTTATGGATTCGATGCTTTAGCATTAAATAACAGACCTTCATTTTCAATGAATTACATAATCCCTGATACTCCTTACTTTATTTGATGTTACTTTATGCTATATGCCAGAATCAGATAGACTAAGAGAGAGATAAGGACATCCAATTCATACTGAGGGGTCGCTATTCCAAGAGAATGTTCATGTCCCATTAGTGCATGCGCACTCCAGGAGCTGGTGTCATGGGAATTATATTTCTCACACTGAATCCAATATTTGTAATAAGATAATATCTTTACTAGAGTGTAACTTTTCATGAAGCAAAAAGTTATAAAAATCCAGCAGTGGGGACCAACCAGCGAATGAAAAAATTAGGCCAGGTCTTTCAATCATCAGGCTTACAATTAAAAGTCATTCTCAACATGTGGATTATATCTTTAATGCATTAATCAAGTTTCAGTTTACAGCTAACATGTACATCGAGTCTCCCAGTGAGGATTATTTTCAATCGGTTACAAATTTGGAGAACTAAAATCTGCTCAGTGGAACATTTTCCCTGACTCAGTCTAGAAAAATAATGTATTTGAATCTGGTCTGTAGAACTTGTAGCTGGACCTGTTTTATTCCACAATGCAATAAAAACAATGAAATAAAAATGGTAGATGTTTTTAAATAGATATTGAAATTATTTAGCATCTATCTGAAAAGTTAATTATATGGCAAAGGACATTGATATATTCCAGCTACAAGATGTAAAATTAGCCCCAGTATGGGGAAAACATTTTATGTAAATAGTACAACTTGATTTAAAGGTTTCTGTTATGTCTACATCTTATGCAAACATATTATCTATTAAAACTATTATCTACATTTTGTGGGATGTTTATAATGGAATCACACAAACATCATTTCTGTATAAAGTCCAGGGATAACAGGACTTGCAATTTATTCTTCTGGAACAAGTCCTTTTGAAAGTTGATGATTGTTGGCTTGTAGATTGAACCAATTTATCTGTAATAGTCACTCAATGTACCAAATAACTCTCATTTATTTTGGGTTTTTAAAAAAACCATTTTAAAAACCCACCAATACATTTGGGAAGAGGTAACAATGTGGAAACTATAGGAAATAATATTTTTCCCAATTAATTCCATTCTACTAATGAATAATTATCTCCAAAGTGAATAGATGGGATGCTAGCAAAAATGCTTAAAATTATTATTACAAATGCTAAGTGGAATAGTCTTTATTAAATTGGAGGGTAAAAGAGGTAGCTAATAATGGCAAAGACAAGCTAAAACTGATATTCAAACTCTCTTGACTAGATTTATATCTATAAAGATAGTTGTTTTTTGTTGTTCTTGAACTAGAATGGCATGAATGAAAGTGTCAATCAACTACATATGAAATATTTTGATTTTTGGCAATGAAAAACACATTTTAACTGTCTTACACTGCCTTTAACAAAATTAAAAAGGACTCCAGACAAATTATTTCATGGAGTACGTAAAATACCAGATGAAAACACAAGGGGAAAAATAATAAAACTGCTGTTTTAAAAACTCTATTTTTTCCTCCCTGTATTTCAGGAATGTAGGCTATAGTGCCAAAGTCATCTATAATCCCTCAGGGCTAAAAATGTTAGGAGTTATACTGAAAGTCAGCAAGTTTACGCTTACCTAATTTCCCTCCCAAAATACCCCATGCACATTCTTGGCCTATATCAGTATGGATCATGTAAAATTAAATCTTGATTAGAAAAGGAAATGGGAAGAGAATTAAGATAAAGTAGTGTTTTCCTTTTACCCCACTAAAATAGAGCACCTGTACATTCTAAATATGTTACCCAAATGACATCCACATGCACAGGCTTAAAGCTAAAAACCTTTTTTGTCATCAGAAGAATCAAAAGTCCAAAAGCAGTGACTGGTTCCTCTCTCTCTCTCATTTTGTATGAGATTTTGTATGATATATATATATATATCATACAAAATATATATTTATATTGAAGGGGATAAAGATAGATTGGTGTCCTTGTTTCAAACATTAATACAGGTAGGAATTTCTTTTGTGCTTTGAGTCTCAGCAACTGTGGAAATACTTCCTGTAGTAAAGAGAGATAAACACAATAAATTTAAATTAGCAAAATAACAACGTGCAACTGAGGGAACAGAAAACTTCTCAATATCCTAATTTTCAATACTTTGGATGTAAATGTTCCTCACTGAGACATTATGCTCATCTTGAGAACCTGCTTGACATTTAGAAGGCTGAACATATCTTGTTCCCATACTAATGAGTCATGTCTTAACCCTGTCAAATTAAAGCCCAGCCTGTGACAGAAGGAAGGAACTGGACTGGTTGGATATCTTTGAGTTAAAGTGCTTACTTTTGATAACATTTGAAATTAAATATAAAGTGATAGGGCTCTGATAATCAGCTGAGGTTCTTGTCTTTCCTCAAAGATTGGAGGCCTGAACTGAGCAAAAAGAAAAGAAAAACGAAAAAAGCCAAGAATCAGATTTTACATTAATTTCTAGAGAATTATTGAGGAACTAAGTTTGTTCAAAAATTCCTAAAATTCTCATCTTTGGACAATCTAAAACATCTGTATAGAATTGACCATGAACTCTACTTTCTTTGCTGATGCAGCATGGATTTCAGGAGAAAAATCTTCTGCTCTATGAATCTATGCTGGTTTTCTTTCAATTTTTAATCATTATATGCATTTGGAAATACTTTCACTCATATATATATATATATATATATACACATATATTTCTGTCACATACATTATAGGCAACTCCCATACATTAAGAGTGCTTCTGAATTTTCATTCCAGTACATATGCTTCTGGAAATCTATTTTTCCAAGCCTTAGAAGAACACTACAGAAAGTAAGAAACCTACTGTATATCCCATCCCTAAACCTGCATTCTATATGGAGTGCTTATAGACTTGAAAGTCTGTTTATTTATTTAATTATCACCTAAACTGGCCATTAAAGGCTCTTGAAGCAATAAGACAAATATATGCACAAAAACTGCACCTTATATTAAAATATGATTACAAAAGAATATAATCTATTTCTCTCTTTCTCTCTCTCTTTCTCTCTCTGTCATATTGTCCAAGGTCGAGCCCACTTTTAAGTTGAATTATGGTAATTACTGGCTTGGATACAGCCAAGGCTAAATCCAAATAGGGTTGCCAGATATCCATGATGAACTTGGACAGTATAGAAACCACCTGCTTTGTCCACTGCCCAGGACAATATTTATAATCAAACTTTATGACTGGCAGCTCTGGAAGGGCTCCAGATTACCCATGTACTTTAACATGGTTACCTTGTGCCCTACAGGCAGCTGCTCCAGTCCCCCACCCCTTCAGCTGACCACCAGTGTACTAATCAGTGGGTCAGCAACCCAGCGCACCTGCGCCTGACGAGCATTCCTCAGACATCTGACCGCCAGTGTGCTTATCAGCAGGGCAAGAGTCTATGCACTGTCTGGTCCTGGACCCTGGGCAGTCCTTGGCTGTCTGGTCACGCTCGCTGGTTGGTGTCCAGGATGTCCAGGAGATTTTCCTCCCAATAGCCTCTTGTGAACAAGAATTGGTCTTTGGAAATCTGGCAACCCTACAAATAACCCCAGCCAGAATCAGTTGGATTCATTAAAAGTACAATCCTTGAATACTAATCCACATGTGCAAGGGAAAGGGAAGGAAGAGAAATGAAGCTAATTAAGGATAAAGTACAAAAACAGCTTCAGTAATAAATACAGTTGCATGCATTTGATCATAATTAATAATTCATTTCCAGAAGGATGCATAACTTGTGCCCTTCCAAAATACTGCTAGTTGGCCCTTAGACTTATATACCGCTTCATAGTGCTTTACAATCCTCTTTAAGCGGTTTACAGAGTCAGTATATTGCCTCCAACAATCTGGGTCTTCATTTTACTGACTTCAGAAGGATGGAAGGATGGGTCAACCTTGAGCCGGTCAGAATCGAACTTTTGGCAATGGCCATGAGCTGAATTAGCCTGCAATACTGCATTCTAACCACTGTATCACTACAGCTTGCTTACATATTACTTCTTTTTTTTCTTCAAATTTGGGAAAATATTAAATCCATAAATCATGTAGATTTTAGCTATACCTATTAATTTAATCTACCTTTGAATTTAAAATGACATCAGATCAAATATACTTCTTTTCTATTGGCATCAGTCACTTTATCGTTCATATCTTTCTTCAAATGTTGACATTTAGCTTTGACACAAAGCAAAAAATTATATCCTCAAATTTTGTGAGCTGATTATATTTTTGTAATATTGTAAGCTCGAATACAAATGGATAAACCAGACAGAGTCCATTCAAAGGCTATATTCAAAGAACAGAAGGTCTCAGTCCTGCTTGAGCAGGGGATTGGACTAAAAGACCTCCAAGGTACCCTTCATTCTATGTTCTAAAGGCCCATGTCATGCTAATATGTGCAGCAGAGAATTTGAAAGTAGTGCATTGGCAAACTCACCTCCAGTAAAGCTTTCCTCAGACTTTATCCAAACTTGGTTAATATATGGCTGCCTTTATATGAAATTCAGAAATTCTAATGGAAACTGAAATAATAGTTGGTCTTAGACCTATCTGGATAAGCTATTTTATACCTGCTTTTTAAAGTTTACCATGTTTGTAAACATATTTCTGGCTGAAATATAAAATAATGACTATCGCTAACATCCTAAATTAGTTAGCCTTAGGTTACTCAAATTATCCTTTTTTTTTTTTTGCATGATTTCACAAATCAGTAAAACTATAAGTAGATGTCCATCTTTAGGAGCCTCTTATGCTGGCTGGGTAATTCTGGGAGTTGAAGTCTATGTATCTTAAAATTGCCAAGTTTGAGAAACATGTGTGATGGGATATACTGCAGTTACTGTGCAAAGGTTTTTAAAAAGCACAACTTTTTATTCAAAGATATTTGAATAAAATATCTTTGGTGTTATATTAATAGTAATGGTTTCTATTTGTGTTCAGTTTAATTCTTGTGACAGGTTGCTTAAAAATCTCTAAAAGATATGATAGATATAAAAGAATAAAAATAGCAAAATAAATTCAGCTAATATTGTAATAATGACAGCTAGTAATTTGTCATGATACCATAAAGGAGAATTTTATATTTTGCCTAGTGATTAGTGCAAGTTTATTTGTTTGTTTGTTTATTTATAACATCTCAGTAAGTGACTCTGAGTGGCATATGTCATAAAACATTAAAAAATTCATAGTTGGATGATTTTGTAGCAACAAAATATAAACCAAAAATTGGGAAATGTAAAGGTATTTATGGTGGTAGAAGAATTTTTTTTCCACAGTTCTAGTTAACTATTGTGACATTTATTACAATGGAAATAAAATTTTACCTCATACTTTCTGACTCATTAATTAGAAGAGGTGGAGTAAAGATATTTGTGTTAGTTTAGAGAAATTTAGATGTGTTAATGGATCAGTGGGAATATTGAGTGTTTTAGCAGAAGAGGTTGGAAAAGTCAGAATAGATTTAGCCAATCAGAATGCAAACTTTGACCAGCTATTGGCTGGCTTAGTCTATTTACCTATGGGCTGGTATCCAACTTCTCATCTACTAGTTGCTGTGGGTTCATCATCTCCCTCTGAGGGACATTAGGAATGCTTTCACTTTGACTGCCTGGACTGACCATCTCTTGATCTTTCTCATTCTGCATCTGTGCATAAACATTAATGCCCGGAATCTTCCTAAAATATTAACAAAAACCATCATTGCTATGTGTATGCTAAGGGTCTCTTTGAATTATGCTTTCACACCTGACAGAAGGATGGAAAGAAAGTCAGGAAAAAACTTCACATACCTTTTGAATTTGTAGATTACAAATACTGCCAATCCCACAAATACTACAGACAGCAACATTAGCATGGCTGAACCACTATGGCTAGGTGTGACATCTATGAGTGGAGCTATAAAAAGTTAAAAACAAGTTAGACATTAGTACATTCAGTCATAGGCACATAAAGTATAGAATGACTACTTCTTTTTTTTAAACAAACCATCACTGATGTTCTTGAACTTTTCCAACCAAGGTTGCACTGTTATTGAACAGTCTGTACAATTATCTGTCTTTTCTGCATTAGAGCACTTCTATAATCTTAACATCTGATACACAGACTACAAACTTTTCAGTCAATAATGCTTTATTTAAGTTGGTTGTGGCAGAAAGTTAGTGACTCATATGGCTTCAGTTCTCAGACTATTACCTATTGCAGATGAAGTTCAAGGAATGTTAATCTCAAGAAAAAAAACCACTTTTTAATCTGCTACAGTTGTGACAGTTCAGATTAACTTTTTCTGGACACTATATCATGTATTACAATAACCAAAGGTAATAACAAAAACGAATATACTACTTGCAATGTAGATAGGCACTCATGGGGTGTTTTAATTCAGTCTCTAGAATCAAAAGTATCTCTCCTTTTAGGTAGTCATCACTGTAAGTACATTTGTTCTAGCACTTTTGAATTAAATCGTATGAATAAATTGTATCTTCTTAGAATTAAAATTTGGTGAATGATGTCCATTTCTATCCTTATATACAAAAGTATTATACCTATGGAGCAGGGGTGGGTTCTAATTTTTTTTACTACCGGTTCTGTGGGCGTGGCTTATTTTGTGGGCATAGCTTGATAGTCATGTGGCAATTCTTTAGGATTTAGCAGAGGTACTGGTCTACCAGGCTTTTAACTGCTTGCAGAGCTGTACCGGTCTACTCATTTGTTCTTGGAACGTCCTAGTCTACCCATTTGTTCTTGGAGTGTACCCATTTGTTTTTGCAGGCTCTGGTTTACCCATTTATTTTTGCAGGCACCGGTCTACTCATTTGTTTTTGGAAGTACCGGTCTACCAGCACACTGCCTTTTAACAATGATCAGCTGTAGGGCGGCACTTTGAAGCCCTGTGGCAAGAGTTTAAACAGTTTTTTTCCTTCTAGCTGATCAGCTGGGACTCAGGAGCAGCAATAGATAGGGGGTGGGGCCAAATAAAAGGTAAGAATAACCCGGGGCGGTTGGGGGGGCGGGGGAGCAGAACTGGCTCTGTGACATCATATGTCACCACTACCGGCTCTGCGGAACCGGGCGGAACTGGGAGGAATCCACCACTGCTATGGCGCCAATGACATACACACATATAATTTCAGTTACATTTTCAAAATTTGGTTTCTTGATTTGATTTTTTTTAAAGATGAAGAAATAGAAAGAACTGCTGGCAGTCATCAAAACCATGAAGTGAATTTAAAATGTATGTAGCATATCTCTATTGTAAAGGTATCCCTTACCATTAAATCTTGAGGACTACCTCCATTCACAGCATTTTCCTTTTTCTAATATTCTGGACATTAACTGTGATTAAGTCTCAGTAAATGTAATAGAACTTTAGCTATGTATTGTATTGCATTTTATCACAAAGAAGTATTTTAAATACATATAAATAAAATAAAAGTAGAAAAATATTCTGAACATTAAAAATCTACAATTCTATCATTAAAGCATTGTCAATTAACTGTTCCAGCAATGCTAGCTAAATTGTTAAAGAATCAGCACCAACCTGCTGTTAAATGAGCAGCATGAACAAGGATTCTAACTCCAGGCTTTAAGTCGAACTGAATGGCATTTTGGTTTAATTTCTGGACTAATATTTCTGAAATCTAGAATAAGGAAGAAAAATATATATATAAATTCTTTTGTATGCTACCACAAAGGACAAAAAACAATATCCTAACAAAGAGAATGCTGATTGCTAAATAAAGAATGAAAACGTCTTGATCAGTGGTGGGTTTCAAAATTTTTTACTACCGGTTCTGTGGGTGTGGTTTGGTGGGCGTGGCATGGCTTGGTGGGCATGGCAGGGGAAGGTGGGCGTGGTGTGGCTTGGTGGGCATGGCAGGGGAAGGATACTGTAAAATCCCCATTTCCTCCCAATCAGCTGGAACTTGGGAGGCAGAGAAAAGATGGGGGCAGAACCAATCAGAATTTTTACTACCGGTTCTCCAAACTACTCAAAATTTCCGCTACTGGTTCTTCAGAACTAGTCAGAACCTGCTGAAACTCACCTCAGGTCTTGATGGAGAAATGAAATAAATATGTTATATAAATCTTTTCTTAACAAACAAATGGATGTTTAAGAATGGTTTCTCAGCCCCATAATTTAATCTGCCTGTTAGTGAATCATTATATTATATACATTAAAGGAAATAACAATATATACTGAAGTTCCTCACCAAAAATATAAAAATTACAGTCTATGAACTACTATAGCGTAATAGTGCTTGTCTTTTATCCTCAAATTGACTAGGGCAAAATAAACGGCTTGGTTACCATAACCCTGTATTATAATCAAGACTCCTTTGACTTCTTGTATCACATACTTTTGAAATGCCACCCATAATATGCTGCACAAAACTTTTAATACTAGTTACGTACATTTTTTCTCCACAAATCTGTTTTATTTTTCCTATTTGGCAAACACCATTCAGGATTCATTATGAAATAGAAATCATTTTTGTTTCAATTTTAGTTGCCTAAAATTGAAATAGTTTGTAAAGAGTGAATTTCTTGCACTATACTGTATATACGAGGGGAAATGGATAGTGATAGACATTCCCTATGACTCACATTGGGTCTATCATATTTGGAAAATGCCTTTTCTGTTCCCAATTTTAGACCCTAGCAGGGGATGGATTACCTTTCAGGCTTTCCATTAGACAAATACTGAGTAGGGCTGGAACTATAATTATTACAATACTTAATCTTATGGTGATAAAAAAAAGCCTGCTGAAAAAGGAAAATATTACCTTCATAGTGTCATTCCTTGATTTTGTTGAAAATGGTTGCTTTGAGCCAGATATTGCCCCTATTCCCCAAAATATACCCTCATAGATAATGTACGGTAATTGATCTGCACATGATAAAATAACATGTAGAGTTCAAGAAGAAGCTATTGGGGTAAAGCCTCATTTAAATAAAATGAAAGATTGATGCAGCACTCTCTCCTCTTTAAAATATTATTTGTTTTACCAGCACTTGCACAAAAAAGGTTCAGTCAAAGTCAACTTTAAAACTGGTGCATTGTGACAAGGCCGTAACAAGAATTGTGAAGTATAACAATAACTAATTTTAATAGAAAGTCAAACAACTTTCATTCAAAACTACCATCTCAATACTTGTACACATTTATTTTACATTATAGGTATTTCATTTTTTGTCAGAAGGACTCATATTCTTCAGCAACCTATTTATTTCAACTGCTTTGTGAACCTGAGTGCAGTGTAGCTATCTCATAACACACAACATCATGATCTGCAAACTGAAGATCACAGCAATTCAAAGAGATAGCTTTTTAAACTTTTTAAACTAAACTACACTTTCAAAATAGGAAACAGAGGAGGTTTAAAACAGGAGCTGGCAAACTGAGGTGGTGAACCATATTCTTAAACATCCCACCTCAACTATAATTTCTCAAAAAATATGGCAACAGTTTCCTGCAACTCAAATAAGATTTATATAAAAACTGTAGTATAAGCCCCAGATAGATTTAATTCATTTTAAGAAAGAACTATTGTATATCTAAAATTCTGGCTCTGTCCCTGTGTATGTAATTGCCTACTACCATATTCATTGTGACCCATGCCATCCTAAAAGTATTAATTGGGACTTCAGTTAAAAGTGCCCTACACTGTTTACTGGAAAATACTGCATGATGCTTACCATGGATACAGTCATAACAATGATAGAAGGACGCATCAAAAATATGATACATAGCAAAAATAATGTATTATTAGAGAGCTTTTTGTTTATACTGCAATCCGAGGCAATGAGGCTTGAACTCAGATACAGTTAGGCATCTGAATAAACATTCATATAAACAGAAGTAAATGTTCACGGACATGTAGAAACTTCGAAAATGAATAATACGTTTAGTCAAGATCTCAAGTTTTAAAAACATACTTCATGTTTTGTGAATTCTGAATAAAATGTCAACAGCAGATTTGTCATATTTAGCCATTGGGTTCAATATGAAGTTCAATGTGACGATAATCCAATCCAGTGTAATTAGGTTATAAAATGAATGAACTAAGGTTGTATGTGGATGTACAAGAGCCTGAATTCATAAGGAAAGGTGCAATGCTGCCCTCCAGTGTCTTGCTGAAAGCTGCTTTTCCTCTGTGCCACAAGGATTGACTTTCACACTTTCTGCTACGCTAAATTGTAAGTTTGTCACCATGAGAATTTATTGTAACCCCGCTGTTGTTCATATTCTTCTTTATAAGATAAATTCATTTTTCTTGGTTCTCACATTATTAAGTTCTTCGATATGTCATTGTCATGTATTGCACTGTAGGTCTTGACTTTAAAAAGTAGGAAAATGAGAATAAAATGGAAACTTTAGCTGAATAAATACATATAAAAATCTCATAATTTAGGGTAAAGTATTTCCAAAAACAATACTTTTATGTATTTTTAAAAATCCACTGAGTAGGATGATAATGAATCAACATGTAAGAAAAAAAAAATGAATACCTAAGACATTGGCATGGGACTGATTAGCCCACCCCTTAATGTAATCAAATTATACTGATACTAAAGAAAAGTTCCCGAGCCTCCTTTGACAAACTAAGGTACCCAGTTCAAAGTATATGTCCTCATCCCTATGACGTTCTAGAAATGATATGATTTGCATTCAGAATAATACCACAATTTTAAATGCAGATTTGGAACACCCCCACTTCCCTACTTCTTTATGTGCACATTCATCAGTGGAGCCACTGGAGTATAATATTGCTATTATTTTTTAAAAGCTGATACGCCTTCTAATTTTCACTGCTTGGCGTATAGAACCCCTACAGCTATGTCCACTTATAAATCCAGCACACTTTAATTAGTGATGTGGTGATGTTGAACTCTAGCAGTTCAAATGTTGGAATTAGAAATTCGTAACAATTAACTTTTGCTATAGGATATCACGTATCTTCAGAGCGTAAAATAGACTTTTCTCTCATTCAAGTCTCTTTATACAATTTTCTTCTTTTCTGACCATATTTTACTTATATGATTATTGGATTTATCAGAATGGGCTCTGGGGCATTGTAATATAGTGAGCTTTGTATAGCTTTTGCATACAAAGTCTTGCTTTGATTTAAAATATTAAATAAACACAAAATGTTCATTGTAAATCATGGATTAGAGGCTTCAGTAAAATGAATGAACTAATGTTGTGGCTTACACAATAAATTAAGACTAGTGCTATAAAGTCAGGCCTGTGTTTTTATGTCAGATGGAAGCTGCTTCAATAGGAGTTTATTAGATCATTAGCACACATTCACCAATTCAGTAGGAATAAACCTGTTTAAAACAGGGTGAAAAAGCTATTCTCTGGTTTAATGTATCATAAGAATCTCATCTGGGATAAAGAAGGAATAAAATCACCATAGATATTCTAATACTTTTAATATGTATTGTTTAGCTACTGAGCATAAACAACACTAGGCAACAATGAACTAGGGCAGGGGTCAGCAACCCGCGGCTCTGGAGCCGCATGTGGCTTTTTCATCCCTCTGCTGCAGCTTCCTGTTGCTGGTCGGCTCCACAATTGATGGGGCTTTCGGTTAGGTAGAGGAAAAAGGATGCCATGCTAGGAGAAGACTCTATAGTAGGGCAACCAACTTTCAGTCGGCAGAGGAAAAAGGAAGCCGTGCAAGGAGGACACTCTATGGTGGGGGAACCGGACTTCCAATCAGCTCCAGAATTGAATGGGGGCTTCTGGTTAGGACCTTTGTGGCTCTTTGAGTGTTTAAGGTTGCCGACCCCTGAATTAGGGTGATTTCAGTCTGATTTAACAGAATCTTTCTGGATTTGGCTAGTGTGTGAAGGTATGAGGGTCTGGACTTTGAAGAAGCAAAATATCTATGACTCTGTTCATAAGGAAACCTCGCTGAACTAAACAAGGTACATATTGAGATTATTACAGTAAGTATTAATTATTATAATAATAATTATTGACACTTTTAAACATTGGTATTGAAGAAGATTCCTGAGAATACCATGGACTGTTGTATTTGTATGCAGCAAAGACTTTAGGAGACTGGGTTAAGAGATGCTGCTTTGAGAATGGTCAGGCAAGAGATAGCAGAGCATAATGGGTGAAGCAAGTGGTTCAGAACTAACTCTCCCTGCATTATCAAGTTGTAAAGATGACAGAGGGAGAATTTTCAGACCTGAAAGTTTCTGTTAATGTAGGTTTACAATAAAGTAGAGTTACTTTATTTGGTCATGTTTCCTCTCTGGACTATCTGTGTAATGGAATGTAGGGAGGACCTTAGGGAACAAGGAGAAGAGTTGCTGCCTAGAAAACAGATAAATCAGACAAGCGAGGCAAGAGCTATCAGTGGCTGAACAAAGAAAACATTAGGAAGGATCCACCCTAATGTATCAAGCAGTTAAAACTGACAGCAGGAAGTCTGTACTTTAGACTTGCAAGATTCTGTTAAAATAGGCTTAAAATAAAATAAAATTAGTTAATCTAATCCCGTTTCCTGCATGATTTACCTGGGAGAGATGACATACTGATAAGGCTGACATCAATCTTGCAAGTCTGAAAGTAAAATTCCCACTATGTAGCACTCATTATGTAGCTGGGGGCTATGATGTCTCTTACCTAATAGTTCCCCAAGTAGCATTTCTTTGCCCATCTCCCAAGATTTTCCTATATACTATTACATCTGCTAAAAAAAAATGGATCATTGGATAAATTATCCCAGAATTCTCATTCATGGCACCAGACTTAAATTATGGCATTTTGGAGATCTTATATACTGTATCTAGCTGTCTGGAGAAGCTGGTAAACATGGAAGGAAAGAGAAAAAGAGGTTAATCAGTAACAAAGTTATGGGTGCACTATTGGAAGACCTGAAGGACTAGGTTAGGGACAGATAATCATGGAGAAAATCTATCTATGTGATCACTAGGTTATCCAATGGTACACAATCACTCAATCAATCCAGCTAAATATTGTCTATCATCAGCCTTGTACTGATAACAAGTTTGTTAAGTATAAAATGCATATCAACAACAAAACAGTGCTGACATATTCTTGTAGGAAAACTAAAATTTGTTCAGGTTCATGAATTATAAATTTTATAAGCTTATCATCAGCACAGAAACTTTAAAGCTTTGAGCTTGTGCCACTGCTCGCACACTTAAGTTTGCAGCTAAACTGAAAATCTTTAAATACAGATAATCTTATTTCAGTTGAAAAATTAGATTATTGCCATTTCCAGTGATATATATTTTCTGCACTATGAATAATCCTTCTGCTGATGTTGTAATTGTTATTATTATTATTATTAAATTTATTTATTTATTTATTTATTTATTTATTTATTTATATGATTAAATAATATACTTTTCAGGGTAAAAGTTATCCACATGATTAATGTCCCATAAGAATCTCATATGGAATAAAGAAGGACTAAAATCACTAGAGGTATTCTAATATTGTTAATAAGTACTGTTCTGAATGCTGAGCAGAAACATCAACCACACTCTAAAAAAACTAGAGTGATTTAAAGAACAGACTTAACTCCTCTGGATTTGGCCTGAATGTAAGATTTGTGTGTCAGAAATTATGAGGGCCCAAAATTTTAGAAAAAATAATTTTAGTCAGTTGAATCATAGTGGGGCTTTCCCAGAACATCCAAAATCAAATATCTGCTCTATAAAGGGACCACGACTTCTTGGTAATAGGCCTTTGCATGTATGCATGATTGCAAAACAATTACCCAAATACTGTAAAGGTATTAGAGCTGGCATCCAACAAAATATAATCTTAGTTAGAAGGATTTTAAACAATTAATTTATCATTATTAGAATTCAAAGTCAATGAAAGTAAAACTGGCTACCTGATTAAGCATGTATGTGATAAACTGATTCATTAGTCAAATGAAAATATATTTGCATTAATGAGAAATTTAATATTAGGGCTTTACAGATTTACAGACTTACAAGAGAAGAAATTAACACATCCCTTTCTACCAAAACTATATAAAAATTATCAGAAACTGGGAAGACCAAGTCATTGGGGTCCCCTTAAAGCAATAAAGAGTCAGTAAACATGAAAACCTTTCTGGGTTAGAATCCTTTGTAAAACAAAATGTGTCAGGTTTTTTTTTTCATTCTGTCTGTGGATTGGAGATTTTCTACCATAAAATGTGAAGTCTACTTTTACATCCCCCATAATGTTACAAAAATCCTCATTCAAAAATATATTTGTGTGTGTGTATAATTCTTTTTGAAATAAAAAACTTCCATGTCTTATAAAATGTATGATAGTAATAAAAATAGAAATGGTGCTGCAACAGAAGTTGTTATATTTAAATCTAAAATTTCAACTATTTTTTCATTTCCTCCCCCTCCCCTCCAAAAAGATAGATGCTTTGAAATAAATTCTTATTATTTAAGCTATAGATTCTAAGGTTGATTAGATCCAGATAAGAAAACCTGGATCAAAACCATGGTTTACAGGTTAAAACCGACTGAACTCTATTGATTAAAACTGCAGTGACCCAAGCATAGGAGTAACCCTCTAAAGTGGCTATCATCTTCTAGCAAGCAGATAACGTCATTCTACACAGCTAATGTTTCCATGTGGTCTTCCAAGAACTGAATGTTGTTGTAATCCATCCTTAAGATGATAATGACATCAGTTGCTATTGATAAAGCCTGGGTTATTAAGACTATGAAATCCTGAGACTTTTTTTTTCTTTGTCTCCTTTAAATTTGTTAATATGTACTTATTCAATGACTGCAGGAGCAATTTAGAGAAAACTGAAAGGTTATAGAATCATGAATAATGCAAGTAAAAATAAAAATGGCTATAAATTAATATTAATGTGAGATGTTTGTGATCTCTACTGTCCAGAAATGCTTAATGTAAATTTCTTAATAATTCAACATTATTATCTGGCTAAAAAGAACCAACAAAACCAGATACCTGTTGCAGATCTTCAGCTGTTTCTTTACTTTCTCCATTGGAATTCTTATAGGGCAAAATAAAGAGTTCAGCTGAGGTGGGTAACCCTGGCAAGATTGCTACCAAAATATGTTCACTGGAAATGGTTGTTACCTAATATGGGGAAAATAAAAGTAATAGTACATTAGACTGACATCCATAGTTCTGACTCTGCAGCTAAAATAAACTTGAACTGGTTGTCTTCTATTATATTTTTTCTAAATTTATGGACTATTAATACAAATATTTTTATTTTTTTAATTTATATCCCATCATTCCAACATTTAATATTTGCTATTACTATATTTAATAAATAAAAATGCATACCACCTTTAAACCTACAGTAGAACTATTTGGTTGGTTTTGTTGGGTTTTTTTTTGCTTCTTGTGCTCTCCATCTCATCATCAAATAGCAATAGTAATAGCACTTAGACTTATATACTGCTTTACAATGCTTTACAGTCCTCTCAGCATATTACCCCCAACAATCTGCGTCCTCATTTTACCGACCTTGTAAGGATGGAAGGCTGAATCAACCTTGACCCGGTGAGATTCGAACTACTGAACTTCAGGCAACAGGCAGTCAGCAGAATTATTCTGTAATACTGCATTCTAACCACTGTGCCACCACATCTCTTATACAATTGCATTCAAATCTACATTTTTCACCGAGAAAATCGATTCTCCAGCTTTTTGATAAGCATTATATTCCCGTTCCTATAGGCATTTCTCAGCAGAGAATCATTGACAGTGGTAAATGCGATTGCTGGTTTTGGGGCTTAAAAATATACAATTTAAAACTATCCGCAAAGAAAATTAATTAACGAACATGAATGACATAATTAAAGATTGTATCACACACTGTGGTATTTACAAAATCAATATAGAAATTTAAAAAAAAGGCCCAAAACAACCCAATAATTGCTATGTGAGAAATAAATTAATTCTGAAGTTCAAAATGTCAGGAGAAAGAAATGTTAGAAATTTGATAAGCAGAGGTGAAAAGTCATATAACAGCCTTGTTTAGATCTTGCACAGCTCAGGGTCTGATTGTACTGGACGTAGAAAGGAACCAGTGGGAGCTCTACTACACATGATATATTAGACTAACTTAATCAGAGGTTCTCTCTGTAGTCACAGAAACATAGCAATTGAGATAGTTATAATAACTTAAGTTAAAAATAGAACCTCTAGTACATTCTGTATAGGAATATATATGTCAGGTTTTCAGGCCGTCTTCAAATAAATTATGTCTCAATATATTGCTGACAATATATATACATATAGGAATACCTAGCAGCTGGTTATATGAGACTGTTTGTTTCCATTTATTTATTTATTTATTTATTTATTTATTTATTTATTTATTTGATTGATTGATTGATTGATTGATTGATTGATTGATTGATTTATATGCCGCCCTTCTCCGGAGACTCAGGGCGGCTTACAATGCGTTAAGCAATAGCCTTCATACTTTTGTATATACCTGCTTAGTAGGGCTTTCGCCCCCCCCTCCAAGTGGTGTTCTTTTTTATACAAAGTCAGTTTATTGCCCCCACAATCCGGGTCCTCATTTTACCTACCTTGAAAGGATGGAAGGCTGAGTCAACCTTGAGCCTGGTGAGATTTGAACTTGCAGTAATTGCAGGCAGCTGGTGCTAGTTAACAGCACTTTAGTCTGCTGCACCACCAAGGCTCTTTATCTTTGCTATTCAATAAGATCTGATAGATTTGGCATGCTCTGAGTTCCATCATTTTAAAAAGTATCATATGATACATTGCAGGACATCTCTGCCACACACCTGCTCACATTCCCAACAAAAACTGGATGTCCTGACCCTGCTTGTCTACCAAAAGGCTCTAAAAACCTCTCCCCCCACCCAACATTTCAGTCAGGAATGTTCAGTTTTAAGACTACCCTGATTACCTTTATTATTTCTAACTGACTTAACTACTTCTGCTAAAAATGGTTAATTATGTTAAAATCCTTTAAGACTACTAATTTTTTTTCTTTAATTTTGTACCTCACTCAGAATCATATATCAGAAAGGTTGCTATATAAAATGAATGAAAGAGAATTGTATGAGTAAGGCTTGTACCTCTTCAATGTATTTTTTTTTTTTTGTGGGGGAGAAGAGGGAGCCAGATGTAAATATACTTTATCTGGTATAAGGTAGGATGACATTATCTAATTTACATCAATCATACCATAAATGATGTCACTCCCTCCCCTTTCCCACTCCCCCAGGTATGTCCAGATTAGAAACTATTGTAACTCATCAACCTAAAATTCAAGGACGTCTGAAATGGCTCCCTTCTATTGATGAGTCCAGTTTAAGAAAAGGATATTCTCCCTATCGTAAAGCATAGTTTTAATGTATATTCTATGTGTCAGTATTATACATTTCCTATGTCATATTCTCATTGATGATAACAATAGCACTTAGCAATAGCATTTAGACTTATATATTACTACTGTACTTTACAGCCCTCTCAAAGCAGTTTACATATTGCCCTCAACAATCTGGGTCTTCATTTTACTGACCTCGGAAGGATGGGAGGCTGAGTCAACCTTGACTCAGAGAATTGAATTGCCAAACTACTGGCAGCCAACAGTTAGCAGAATTAGCCTGTGATACTGCATTCTAACCACTGCACCATCATGTCTCTTTCTGCTCAGGCTTAAAATCATGGTGAGTCTAAACATGGTAGCCCATGATAAGCCATTCTTTATGTCTTAACTATGACATCCAAATTTTGTACCGAAATATTACTTGCATCTTGACAAGAACATTTGTTTCCAAACTTCAATACTTGAAAATTATTCAGAATTAAAATTTCCTATATTCCATCACATGCTTGAATTGTTCTCATCAATTCCAGACTTTCATAGAATATTAGTAATACAGAAAATATATAAATTAATTCCACAAATGTAGTTAGCACAATGGTCCTAGCATCCCTTGATCTGTATCATTCTGCACCATGACAACGAGAAAGGATGATAAAGGATGATTAATGAACTACATGATCATATTACACAGGCATAGGATAGACTGTAATGACCCATATGGACATGTTAAGCTTAGGATATATTGAAAGATGGGAATACAAGATACAGACACCAAACTATATGTTTTAAACATTCAGCTAGTAAAAAGAAATACAACTCCATTTTTAGCATGCCACATAAGAACATACACTTCACTACACACACACACACACACACACACACAGAAGCTAGTCACAGATGCCTTGGTCTCACATCATTGTAATTGTGTGTGTGCTTGTGTAAATACACATACACACATACACATACATATATATACAGTATATATATATACACACACACACAATTTTATTTTTTAAAAAATTCTGGAATTAAATGTATGACAATTGTTTATATTAATCTGATAAATGGAAGGAGTATTCCTATAAATCATTCTTGTGTCTTAAATTGGATTCAGACTCTTCTAAATGCTCCTTTCAAAGAAATTAGTGGAAGATAACAATAAAATATGGCAACTTTTTTTTACCTCAACTAGAACTGTCTTGATGACATGACCAATGTCTCGTCTCCATTCAGGAATATCTGGATTGTAGTCATCCAGATTTGGAGAAAACGAAAGCCGTAAAGACTGAAAATGCTCTAGAAGGAAGAAAAAGAAAGAGTGAAATGGAAAGAAAAAAAAAACAAACAGAAAATCTCAGGCTATTTAATGGTGCTCACATTAAATTAGTATATATTTAGGCAAAGAAGAGCACATTGATATTTTAAATTCTAACTAATAAATGCCCCAAAATATCTATCACTACTAAATTTAGACTTCTTGAGGCCCTAAACCCTTTGTTAAAAAGTTACACAAGATATCACAAATATGCATACCAAAAGACAATCTTGGATAACTACAAAAAAATTGTTTTCATAATAAGAAAACTGATATTGTAAATTTCTGTGAGGCCCTGCAGAATGTGAGGCCCTATACTATAGCTAGTTTAGCTTATGCCTAAATCACTAACCAAAGGGTTTTTTGCATGATCCCTAGGATGCAATATGGTTCTTGTAATTATTTCTGAATTAGTTCTTGGAGTTCAGCTACAAATGTCTCATGGAAAAAAGGTCATTTGAAAGAACTTTGGCATAATTTAAAGGATTATATAGTGAAAGATATCAAAGGTATCTTTTTAAAATACAGGTAGTCCTCGATTTACGATCATAACCAAAATTCCTTTTGCTAAGTGAGACAGTTGTTAAGTGAATTTTGTCCCAAATTTTTATGACTTTTCTTGCTGCAATTGTTAAGTGAATCACTGCAATTGTTAAGTTAGTAACACAATTGTTAAGTGAATCTGGCTTCCCTGTTGACTTTGCCTATCAGAAGGTCACAATGGTGACCACATGATTCTGTGACACTGCAACCATCATAAATATGAATCAGATGCAAAGTGTCTGAATTCTGATCAAGTGACCTTGGGTATGCTGCAATGGTCATGTGAAAAACGGTAATAAGTCACTTTTTTCAGTGCTGTTATAACTTTGAACAGTCACTAAGTAAACTGTTGTAAGTTGAAGACTATCTATATTGCAATGGTCCACATAATCACAGCTGATGAAGAAAGAGAGCTCCCAGATGTTCATCTTTCCATTATATTTAACAAACTATAATGCTATAACTGTACTTTGTGCCCATTTTAGAGAGTTAAGGCATTTAAAAAGTCTGCAGATGGAACAAGTAACCAATGATTTATGCACTGAATTTAAAGTGTTTTCTGTATAAATCCTACTGATTAAACCAATTTCAACTTTGCACTGACCCAAAACAATTTCTAAATGAAGATAAATCTGAAGCCTTATTGGTAATCAGCTGATTGAGTGTTAGTGCTTTATGAACCAAGTAACTAGGGAGACTTTAAAAAAGAATCTAGACAAAGTCTTCATTTACATGTCTTCAAACACATATGGTAGTTTGGCATATTTGTGTGTTTTCTTCAGTATTCCTCCAAATACAGACAGATTGTAAAGCAATTAGGTTGTTTGCATTTCGAAAGGATTCAAATAAAACACTTGAAAACATCCCTTAAAATAAGACAAGCAGCATGCGATTACTTTAAAGTAGTGCTGTAAAGAATGAGGAAACTGAGTGGAGATTTAAGAGAAGTGATGTGCTCAGCACTTCAAATTATATACAGACAGATAAATATACTGTAATAAAAATGAATGCACATGTTAAGATCAACCCTTTATCTGGCTGATCTTGTTTCTGTTTGTAGCAAGAGATTCAGGGGTGTGCCAGTAAGCTAACATTCCTACAAAAGATTCCCTTGAACTGTATAACAGAATAGTTGTGACTGACCATATCCATATTCAAAAGTATTTGGTGGTGATGAAAGTGGTTAAATATGTGTATTTCTCTACTGTCTTATACCTACAGATTCTTAAATCTGTTGAGGAATAAATTCAGTGAAGGGGGGGGATTATTCTTCTCCAGATTGGTGAAAGGAGTCACATACCCACTTAGAACTAAGCTATCCTATTAATGCTTCTGCAGAGTCCATCTTTCATTCCAGCTATTTTAAAGAAATATAGTTCAGCCTCCCAAATTTCCATTTGGGGGAAGATCTTGGAGACAGTAGAGGACTTTTAACTATAGCATATAGAGAAAAGAGTTAATTTGAATCTCTTACAATCATATTGAGACCTGGATATTCTGTCAAGACAGAATCTGTTCTTCTAGGGGATAATTTATATTAAGATGCTCCTTGGTTCTATTAGATAAGGGGTGTCAAATTTGTGGCCCGCAGGCCAGATGCATCATGCGCTGGCCACGCCCACCCCTATTTTAGCGAAGGGGGCAAATGTCATGATACATCACATGATGATGCAACGATACAAATCTGACACCCCTGTATTAGATCATCCAGGTACTTAATCTAATGCTATTCCTATCCTTCTCCCTAATTCTATTCCTATCCTTAACCCATCACTTACGGTTCTTTCCAAATTGCCTGCATAGACTGAGCAGTGAGGAATACCTTCTTTATTTTGAGTAAATTTTAACTGACCAGAGCCGTCAGGCTAACTCACTGCTCACTCCAGGAGTTCAATTCTGAGTGGCTCAAGGTTGACTCAACCTTCCATCCTTCTGAGATCAGTAAAATGAGGACCCAGATTGCTGACTCTGTAAACTGCTTAGAGAAGGCTGTAAAACACTGTGAAGTGGTATATAAGTCTAGTGCTATTGCTATTAATTGGGGTTATATTTTTTTCAAGTTAATTAAGAAAAAGATTTTATCGGAGATTCTTTGATTTTGGTTATATATTTTGTTGAATAAATTGCTTGGAGTGTTTGTGATAGGACCAAATAATGCTTTGTGTTACAAAGAAATACTTAGTGTAGCTTTTGTGCACTGAATTTTGCTCAGAGAACAAAATTAGTCTTGGACCAATTTTCTTTCCTATTGCAAAAATATTTGGGTTCCTCATTTAAGAGAACTATCAAGTTTACATGCAACACTAAATAAGCTCTAATAGAACAAAGAATGAGCTGTTAAAAAGAGAGCTACTGTGATCCACAAGCCATATGAGGTCCCCTGGTCATTTTTGGAAACTGCACAAAACATTCAGATTCTTCTCCAAGTTTTTGGTCAAAATAAGGCCTGATGTATGAGTCTTGATTTATTTCTCTGCCCTTAAACCTTAAAAACTTTTTCCTAGCGATTTCACTGTGTCAACAAAAATGCTCCCTGAAGGAAATTTATAAAAATTCAAAGTGCAGCTCTCAGTCAAAATCATGTGCTTATTTTTGTTTTAAGATATGGTCCAGGTGCTGGGTTTCTGAAAAGTAAGAATTTCTCTGGGTGTAAATCTATTATGAAATACAAAGAATGGCACTTTGCGAAGGATAAATAGATCCTTTAACTTATAAAAGATAATATATATGAGCTCAATTTCAAAGCTCTTGATTGATCTGATTGTCATATAGTTGCCTTGTATATGTTTGTCCTTATGTTCTTTTTTTTCTCAAGCCAAGAACACAGCAAAGGGGAAATGGCCATGGAAACCTAAGGAATAAATAAACAACAGTGAACAAAAACAGGGCTCACCATATACTGCAATCATCTTGGTGTCTTGCAGAATTGTGTTTCCTGCAGAAACTTGTACTGTGATTATGTTCATACCTTCTGTAGAGAAGGTAAATGTGATACTCCCTTCTAGAGTAATCAATGGCTGCAAATACATATGAAGGAAACAAGAAAATTAATTAATGTAGAAATTAAAAGCCAAGACAATCACATTACTAAAAACAAACTGGGATTAAAGATGTCCAAAGAATCATTAGGAAGCTATTGCCACTGATTTATTTTTCTTCCATTTTTCAATTGTATGAAAAAGAATAAATCATGAAAGCTTCTATAAACTATGAAACCTATCATCTAGAAAAACCTCATAAAAGTACCAGCATATCCAGAAAACAATGAATAAGCTCATAGAATACTAAAACGGTACTGATAATAAACAAATCCTTGCCTTGATTTGTATAAAAACCAAGCCACACAATTGGGTTTACTAACCAGAATAAACCAAGATGATCCAAACAAATCAAATTAAGGCTTAATATAATGAAGAAATTTTGAAAGTGTGCAACATGTACACATGGATAGATTTGGTAAAATTTATATTTTCCCCTTTCTAATTCTTCCAATTTTTAATGTATAATAGCATTTGAATTTGAACATTCCCATACAATTTGTATGTTTCAATGAACCCGAAGTGAACAAAACCTGAAATAAAAACTTAAGCTCATATATTTCTTTTGTGCATCCAGCCAATTCAAAATAAGAAACTTGTTAATATGGAAGGTGCATATTAGAACTTTCATTCTATTTTTTTTCTGTAAAATTGTTAATAAGGCCACTTTCTCATTAAAGGAAGACCCTTCTAACCTTTCAGTTTGGGCTAAAAACAACTATATCAGTGGTGTTAAGTTAAGTTTCCTTGCATTAGAGTGGTGTTATATATTTAATTGTTACATAGCAAAATTCTTTGCACAAGCTTGAAAAATATCTCTCTGCAGATTTCAAAGAAAAAGAAAGGATCATAAAGATTAAACAGAGAAAAGGTCAGGCTACTAAAAGGAGAAATAGAAAAGTAGGGGGCGAAATGAATAACCAAAGAACCACATAGCAATAACAATAAAGTAAGGATTTTTTTCACAGAGAATTCTAGGTACTAAGAATTTTGTTGTGTCATATTTGTAAATAAATCAGTAATAACTTGGACCATATCTATGATCTCACAATGTCATCAAGTGTGTAAATAAATTACCATTGAGGGCAATCATGTTGTTTTCTAAAATAATGATAGAACATATGAACCATTATAGAAAAAGTACAGCATTGTTCCATGCAAGTATTGTAGAAGAAATTAGTCACCTCTTATACATGTAGTTTTTGACTTATGACTAATCATTTAATGATCATTCAGAAAGGATATTTTACAAGAGGCAAAGCACTTCTAACCATTCATGTGATCTCAATGGAACATCCTTAATATAACTTCTATTGTGGTTAAAGTCCACTCTCTAATGACTTTTAAATGTAGGAGTACAACAGTTCACAACCCAAATTTGTTAGAAAAAAGAAATCGGGCATAGATAGCAAATTAAATATTGTCCATAGGCTATGTATCATTTAGATGAGTGATTAATAATGCAAATGTATCACTTTAATGCAGTGTTTCCCAGCCTTGATACTTCCAGGTATATGTATTCAATTCTGAGAATTCTTGTTAATGGTCATGTTGGCTGTAGAGTTTTGGAATTTGAAATCTACACACTGGGAAAATTGTCATGGTTCATAAACTTCACACAATGTTTAATATAACAGGAGTTGATTTGGGGAATCTACAAATCCAGGGTATGGCAGTTTTGTTCTTTTTTTTTTTAAAAGTAAAGATAGTAACTATGGACATTCAATCAAAAGCCTACCCCTTTCTGGGTGGTAAAGACAACCCTAAATATAAAAAGAGTAGAAAATGGTATACTTTCAAACCCTAGAATAACAGACATATGTATAAATGTACTTGAAGCTGAACAACTATATTATTTTTAAGCTACATTTTGTATAATGGGGAAAAACAAAATCTTTTGTATTAAGCAAGTTAATTTTAAAAAGCTGATTTGTGTCATAAAGTGCTGATAATTGCTTTCTGTGATTTTCAGAGCCCTGTAATCTGTTTCTTTAGTTAATTCTTCCCCATTCATAATGTGGTCATAACATTAATTAGCCATTGACTTTACTGCATAAAATACAGACCTCAGTGTTGTTTCCAAACCACCAAATATATGTTAAGGTTCCAACTTGACTGGGCCATAATATTGCTGTGGCATTAACTTCTTTGTTCTTTGTTGTTACAAATGGAAGTGACAAATGGACATGCTCTAAAGGACCTAGAAATGAGGAAGAAATAAGAAAAAAACGTGTTTATAAAAATATTGTCAGATTTTAAATTTTATGTTCTACAATTTCAGTATAACTGTAGGCTACTTCATTTACAAACTACTGGTAATTTTAGCATTGTTGCAACCTGCACAAGATTAAAGCAGTCTCACTACAGGTTGTGCATTCACCCAGAGGTAGAAGGGAAGGGAAAGGAAGGGAAGGAAAGGAAAGGGGAGGGAAGGGAAGACATAAAAGGAGAAGATGGACATTGTCTAAATTCTACAAGAATCCTATCTTATGATTCCTAGAAGAATAGCTACAGTATATCATTTCAGAAAAAGGCAGAATTCTATTTGAAATATAGATGTTACATGCTCCCATTGTAGAAGGAATTAGAATAATAAATTAGAATAATCAAAGAATTGTTTCAAAGACCTGTAAGCAAATCCTGAAAATCCTTACCAAGTAATACTTCAGAGTAATATTGCTGGATTATGTATATATTATTGATAGAAATAGTATGACTTAATATGTTTTATTTATTAATGCATCATCTTGCTCACATTCAAATAAAACAGTGCATAACTTTGTTGAATTTTATATTTACCAACAAAGAAATAAAGGGAGACTTTATCTGAAAGTGCAAGCAGTATGCTCCATACCATATTTCGGTAGACTAGGTTCCCCTAATAGACCAGTCTCACCGGAAAAAACAATCAGTGTATAACTTGTATGCAAACTTCCAAAGTTTGAAATCAATTTCCAGTAAAGAATTGGAATCCCATAGAATAATGTGTATATATACATAGGAATGATAACTCACTGAATGAAAGTGTTCTGTTTCTTAGCTGTCAACATGCGTAAAAACATTACATAGGATCTTCATATATAAAAGTAGAAAAATTTCTACTTTTATAGAAAGTAGAAATGGCTAAATTTTAGCCAGTTGGTGGCTGGGAAGTCAAGTTGGATGGGAAGTCATGTAAAACCTCATGTATGAGGACATGACACATGTAACATCTATATTTCTCTGGTGTGATAACTTATGAAAAGCAATATAGACTGTACATACAAGTGCTGATTCAAAAACCACATCTGAAGAATAATGTATAAATTCTTCATTGAATGATCTGCTGTTTTTGATATTGGTTTAGAGAAAAATCACTGAAGTAGGTAGTTCTGATTAACTATTACAAGATAAAAAGACAGATTTAAAAATGCAGCTTTGGAACAGCAGATGGTGTTATACTACTATTTACATGAATAGTTAGAAATATTTAAGTATCTAACAAGAGTTGGGAAATTCTTTGTGCTCTTTGAATTAAAAAGCTTGCATTCACAAGGATTAATTAGTTTCATGAAGCCTATATGCTGGTGACTCTATGTTCTAAACTGGAGGTTATTAAGGGATTGTGCAGATACCAATGGTAATGGAGCTATTTGGAACTGGTTATTTGTGAGGCAAAGATACAGTTGCTGTCGCAAAGGCGCTTTGTGTAAAGCCACAGAGTTTAGAGGCTTTTTTGGGGAAGGGGTGGGAGTAATTATATTATTCAAGACTGGGAAAAAGTAATTGAATCAAATAATTTAAAAACCATTGTTCTATCTATTCCATTGAAAAGTGTGTGAACTGTGCTATGTGGAAGAAAGGTATATTTTCCTAAAAAATTAAATATTAGATGATATGAAAATACTTCAGCTCTCCTAGAGAAAACATTGGTGTGATTAGTTGAAGTATCCCTGTAAAGTATGCTCATTCATTATAGAATTCCCACAGTTGTATGGCATTGCATGCCACAATAATTCTTTTCAAATTGTTATTTTATTTCATATGTCATTAACCTTTCATTAGTTGCTTTCTAAAATGGATGTTTCACTGTTCTAATAACTTTAAAGCAAAGTTTGGTAGTGTGATAGATTTGTATTCTCCATCACTGGATTTTTTTCTGTCCTTAAAAACAAACAACACACATGACCCTGGAGCCCCTCATATGTGGGGTGCTGCAGGGATTGGTCCTCTCGCCCTTTTGTTCAACATTTATGTAAAACCGCTGGGCGAGATCATTCGTGGTTTCGGGGTGAAGTACCATCAGTATGGTGACGACACCCAGCTGTACATCTCCACCCCAGACCACCCCAACGATGCCCTTGAAATGATGTCCCGGTGCATGGAGGCCATATGGATCTGGATGGGGAGAAACAGGCTCAGGCTCAACCCATCCAAGACCGAGTGGCTGTGGTTTCCGACGTCCCAATATCGTCAGCTGGTGCCATTGCTGACTATTGGGGGCGAATCATTGGCCCCCACGGAAAGGGCTCGCAACTTGGGCATCCTCCTGGATTCACGGCTGTCTTTAGAAGAGCACTTGACGGCCGTGACCGGGAGGATTTTTCATCAGGTTCACCTGATCCGCCAGTTGCGTCCCTTTCTAGATCGGGACACTCTGCACACAGTCACTCATGCCCTCATCACCTCTCGTCTGGACTATTGTAACACTCTCTATATGGGGCTCCCCTTGAGGTACACTCGGAGGCTCCAACTGGTGCAGAGTGCGGCCGCGTGGGTGGTTATGGGAGCGACGTGGCGTTCCCATGTAACCCCTCTCCTGCGCGAACTGCACTGGCTCCCGGTGGTCTTCCGAGTGCGCTTCAAGGTTCTGGTTATCACCTTTAAAGCGCTCCATGGTTTAGGACCTGGTTATCTACGGGACCGCCTGCTACCACCAATAGCCTCCCACCGGCCAGTATGCTCCCATAGAGAGGGGCTCCTCCGGGTGCCATCGGCCGAACAATGTCGACTGGCAGTCCCTAGGGGGAGAGCCTTTTCTGTGGGGGCACCTACCATCTGGAACAAGCTCCCCCCAGAGATGCGGAGGATCCCAGATCTGCGCACCTTCCGTCGCGCGCTTAAGACTTTTTTATTTCATCAAGCTGGCCTGGCCTAAATCTTCTCCCCTTTTTAAATGTAAATTTTAATTTGTTTTAAATAATGGGTATTTTAAATTTGTTCAGCCAAATTATTTAATTCGTTTTTATTCTATTTTAAATTTTTGTATTTATGTGTTTTATCCTGTGGCTGTTCACCGCCCTGAATCCTTCAGGAGTAGGGCGCTATAGAAATTTAAACAAATAAATAAATAAATAAATAAATAAATAAATAAATAAATAAATAAATAGTCAGTGGTATGTAAGTGCTAAAGAGTTAGATTAGGCATTTAATCTATCATTAAAATATGACATAGAGAAAGAACAAAAAATTATATGATAAAGTATATAAAAAATCTTAAAAAGCACAATAAGGATACAATCATGAGAGGAATTATATAGAAAATAATAAAACAACAATACTTATGAGGAAAATTGGTATAAAATCTTTAATTTATGGTAATAGATCCATCAATAATTAAATAGATAAAGATATAACAAAAAAAAGGTAAATGTTAGTATAAAGAAGCAACTTTGTATTATATGCAGTGATTATGTTTTTAAAAATACCTCATAAGTATTGGAAAGAAATATGTAACATTAAACAAACAATGAAAAAGAGACACTTTGCCCATGGCACCAGATGGAAAGCAAAACTTGGAGACTATACAACAATGGCAAAACCTCTTTATTTATTTATTTACCTAAAATGTTCAATAGAAAAGATTGTAGCTTAGTGAGGAAACCTAGTGGGGAAACTCAGGTTCTAGTACTTTTTTAGGTATGGATATGGCAGAATGACTTTGGCCCAAGAAGGAGAATGGGAAAGCGAGACAAATCTATCTACTGTGCTGATCAGCCTTTTAAGTCTTCATTCTATTGTGAATTGATTCAGGATGAATAACAATACATATGAAATAATTTAAATGGCCCAAATCACATCAAACTGAAAAAAGTTTTAACATTTCGTTGTTGTTAAATGAGTTCTCTTAAGATACAAGGCAAGAATATTGAAATCTCACAGGGTTCTATGTCCTCATGTGCAATTTCAGGCCTTATCTGAAATTGCATGAGATCCTGGACATTATATCATCAATAACTTATTAGACTGTAGCAATTTTAAATTTAGTTTTAGTTTGGTTTCACTGCATGATTATACCTCATGCACACAAATATCGAGTTAGTTCTCTATGTAAAATACAGAATAAACTCTCTTAGTTTCCTACGCCAGTATAAAAACTCTTACCAGTTTTTCCGCTGGTAGTTCTATCGCTACACACACTGTTTATGAATTTAATCCTTGAAACATTGAACAGAACATCACATCCTATGCAGTTTAAGATCTGACAAGGAATGTAATAAATTATATGGTGTTGAAACACACAGAGCAATTACATGGCTGCAATCCTGTTACCAGATGGGAATGACACAGACAATGACATTTCAGCTTCAGGTCAGGGCCTGCATAAACAAAAAGGTTTTCCATCAAGTAGCCTTGTTAACTTGCATATAAAGTGTGACATGATGGCAAAACCTTTCTTAGCAAACAGCAGCAGATTGCTTGGCTGTGTGTTACTGTGGTTAGGTTATTTGGGATATTACCCTCTCTCTCTACTTACGATTAATTTTGGGGTGTAAGCAACTAGCTTACACCTAAAAAAGTGGAAAAAGTGGAAATGAAGAAATAAGCTGTTTAAATACTGATTAGAATTGTTGCTTAAATATTAATTGTATTTATAATATATATAAATATATATAAAAATATATATATTTTTCTTGACTGTACACCGCCTTGAGTCCTACGGGAGAAAGGTGGTATAGAAATATAATAAATAAATAAATAAATAATATGATTTGATTTATGTGCCACCCATCTTGTCTGGAGGTAACTTTGGGTGGCTTATATCCATTAAAACTGGAAACATTAAAAAGTGAAAACAGCAATAACAATAATCATAGTTATACTAACAAATTATAATTAAAATAGTAAAAGAAGGGGTGGGACAGAGAAGCACAAAAACTACAGGGGGAGGTGGAATCTTCTCTCAATCTACTAACCCCCTCCATTGGGGCCCCAGACCTACTGGCAGAGTCGGGTGTTCAGGCCTTTACAGAAGGTCAAAGGAGTCAGTTTGGGTCTCACTTTGGGGAAGTATGATGTTCCAAAGGGCAAAGTGCACTAAAACAGTATAATTATTTTATATATTTGTTTAGCTGTACATGTTTTTGGCATTGCAATACTAACAAATTCTAAAATGTATAAATTATATAGATAAATATAATGTCATCGCAATCACATGGACAAGGTGAGAACATCACAGTCTCGGGTCTGAAAGAAAAGTTCCAATGATGGAGAAAGCAAGTTCAGTAAATGGGTCTGAATCTTGCTCATCTGAAACGATTACTAAAACCCAGATCTTCCAATATCAATACATAGAACAAGAGAAAGATAAGGTAGATCTAAAATATTCCAGAACAATGGGTCTATTTTACTGGATTCAACATTTCTTGGCTTCTTGGTTACTTTCCAAATCACCAATTAATTTATAATAGGGAAAAAATTATGAATGCAAAAATGTCAAATGCATTTCCTGCTTTTTCTCACTTACGTAAGACATTTTCAGTGATATATACTTAAAACAGCTTCATTGCATTCATGTTTAATCTTGTTTAATGTGTTCGTAATATGGTTCAGCATGATTTCCATTTTCGCCCTATGTAAAATTTCCATTGCTCTTCACTGATACATCCTTTTTCTCTGGTCTGCTATCTCTTATTAAGTAACTATATCTCACACTATTCAGCTATTATGTGTGTGGGGATGGAGAATTCCTAAAAATTGAAAGAAGGTGTGTACATTATATAGTCTTTATGGGTGTAAAAATTAAGAGAAAGAGAATCAGGAAACAGGAAAAGGAAGTGAATTAACAGGTAGTTATAGAAAAACAAAAGAAATTCTTGATTAAAACATAGGTGGTAGCAGTGAGGAGAATAAATACCTTCTAATATGAATTTTCTCTCCAACACATCTCTAGTGTTCTTCACCCCACATAACAACGTGAATCATGAAATTTAAAAAAGTTTAATTTTGAAGTTACATAACTAACTTTTCTGAAATTTCCCCAAGGTCTTTCTAGACTTTTCTGTCATATTTTTCCAAAGTTCAAGTCAGATTTTGAAGAAGCAGAATATCAGGACAATTGACATCTTTGAACTTTAGTGTTTAACAAGACAACCAAGAATAATACCATGGAAAACAAAAAACAAACAAATCAATGGATCAATGGATCATCAACCAAATCAGTTCACAGTTGAAATTATGTGACTTAATCAAACTATTTTGTAAATTATAAACAATAATTGCATATTTTATAAACCCATCAATACCCCTAAATTTCATTTTCTCTTTCTTTTCAAGAAATATTGGAAACAAAAGTTCATATCTCAAAAGTAAAATAAGCTATTCAGTCCCATAAAGGGGTGTGGGCCTACACATTTTATATCCAATCCCAGGAGCAAGAAATATTCCTAGGGAAGCAATAATCCTAATGGTTACAGGTTCCTAAGAGTGATGGATTCATCAGGCATCATGGTAAATATATGGTCTTGGACAAATCCCCTAGTACTCTAGGTTGCTGGCAGACCCTTTCAAGTACCAGATGGGTCTAGATCTCTTCCGGGTTTCAAAAACTTCAATTTTAATAGAAATAAAAACAATAATATGTGAAGTTATAGAAAGAAAAGTATGATAAAACTAAAACAAACTTTTTAAAAAACCAAGCCTATGTTTAAAAGTAAGATCTTTTTGAACTTGAGGCATTAGCCAAATGACTTCCTATTCTTTTCCACTTGCTCTGGGTTATGCCACAAGGTTTCAAGCATGATACAAATTCATGAAAAATCATACTTCTGATGTTACATAAATCACTAAATCAGATGATCATAAATCATTTAAATCAATTCCTGTTTATTCCCTTTCCACCCACTTTTCTAATTCTCTGTTCATCTCTAAAATATGTTTGCATCAAATAAAACCTAACACCTGTACCATCAACAGTATTTATCAAAAGCAGAACATCTGAATTGACATCAATTTATCTTTAAAGTATTGTTATACCAACAGTAATTACATACAATTTACATGCAAATACAAGACTGCAGTGTCAGTCCCCAGGCTGTTTTTGATCTGCGTAGTTACACGGAAGATGCCAACATTCTGATAGATGTGCCTGATTCCATCTTCTGTTGAGCTGAGATTGGCATATGACACAGCACTACCATCTCCAAAATCCACACGGATTATTGATCTTTGAATGTCACCCTAAATAGGAGAACAGGAAGGAAACCGGACATTAGTGAAAATGCTGCAAAATTAGACAATTGAATGCTCGCCCTTCTTGTCTATTAATTGTCCTGGATGGATGTAGCTGCTTTAGTTACAAATGTCTTCAGTTTGGAAGTAGAAATCTTTGTTTCCAGGATCCAGTAAAATCCCTAAAACTAAAGAAAGACTAAAATATTTAAAGGCAGAGAACACAGTAAAGTGGAGACAGAACATTCTTATTATTTCAGAGCATTATTTCAGAGCAGGGACTTTCTTCTTAAATTTCATTTAAAGAAGTTCATTTTGGTAGGTGACCAGACTTCAGTTAACAAAACATGGGAATAATTAAAATAAAATGGAATAAAAGATAAATTGAACACAGCCAGCACGAGTGAAATTTTCCTACTTCTTGAAACAGTGAGACTCTTAACACAAAGGCCTTAGTGAAAAGACCACCATAAATATAGCTAGAACAGAGATGGTATTCTGCAGGTTCTGACCATTTCTGGAGAACCAGTAGTGGAAATTTTGAGTAGTTCAGAGAACCGGTAAATACTACTGCTGACTGGCCCCACCCGCATCTATTCTCTGCCTCCCGAGTCCCAGCTGATCGGGAGGAAATGGGATTTTGGAGTAGCCTTCCCCTGGAGTGGGTGGGAATGGAGATTTTACAGTATCCTTCCCCTGCCATGCCCACCAAGTCACACCCACCAAGCCATGCCACACTCCACCAAGCCACGCCCACAGAACCGGTAGTAAAAAAATTTGAATCCTACCACTAGAGCTAGAAATATATAAACAAGAGGATTAACAATTATTTGTTATTCTTAAACCTGAAGGAAGTTTAATCAAGTCAAACTGTACTTAATGAGGTCCTACTGAAACTTGCTAGCTATTAAACAAATCTTGACAAGATTATAAGACAGTGCTTCATTATGTTCAGCTAAAACATAACTGAAATAACAGAAAGGAGTACAGCCTGGAAAATGAAAGTGAGGTAAGTAAGGTGATCAAAAAAGGAACATTGAAATCTGATTCAAGGTATCTTTCATTTGTTATATTCTACAAATACAAACCCACACACACAAATATATCCAGGATCTACTAGAGTTGTGGAGCCAATGCATTTAAAAAAATAAAAATAAAATTTAAAAGTTTATCTCTTACTGAGACATTTCATATAAGGCAGTGTACATATGGGCATGGATGCACATGTATTGTATGAGAGAGAGAGACATTTTTCTGCTGTAATATAAATATTTCAATATTATCATTCTATTCGTCCTTTACAAATATCACCATTCTCTGTGTGTTTAACTGGAAACAATTCTCAATTTTATTCTAGGTTAAATATGCAAAGAACTGTATTGCTATTTTATGCAAACTTCTTATGCAGAAAGAAATAATGAAATCTCTCTCTAAAGAAAACACTTTATGTGGTATTATCAACATAGAAGTTGATATTTATGCATTCCCCTGAAAAGTCGGTTTGGTGCTCAAAATTGGTACATTTAAATCTGGTGCAAAGATTAAAACAAACAAACAATTTTGGCATTGAGATAGTATAAAAATGTACAAAATTACTTTTGTTGGTTTATATATATGCAAACTTAATTTGAAAAGCAATGAAAGTAGAAGATATATGCATTTTTATCTTCCAGTGTATATAAAAAAAACTTTAAAATTTGATGAATTATCAACAGCTGTTGATAGAACCTCCAAAAACATTGAAATAAATTGTGAAATTTTATTAAAGATGCAAAACATCTACAAATATATGTATCTCTTATTACTAAAATCTGATAGATCAAATTTAGTAGTATATATCGCTACCTAAATGGTAAAAAGTCATTTCTAAGCTCAGCACAAGGTGTCCTTTGGGTTTTTACCAATATTTCCTGCTGGGGGAGAATGGCCTCTTCCTCTTTAATTAGAATAGACCCACATCTGCTACTCAAAAGTTTCTTTTATAGAAAGAATTGAACTGGCTCTGAAAGTTTCTTTCTTCACAATAATTGCTTAAATTATTTGAACTGAAAATGCTTTCTGCCCATTAAATACAATTCAGGCTCTAGCAGATTTCTGAAAAGGGCACATCAAAACGTTGACATTTAAATATCTGAAGCACCAGGACAAGGAAGAAAAAGTAAAGTATTTAACCAATGAGATATTTTTCTGCCACAAATGAAATAACTCAAGGAAAACAGAGGAGGGAGCAGAGAAATAGTGCCTGTTCCAAACAAGTTTTAATCTGTATTGTTTTCCATACATATTTTCCTGTGCTCTGAGGAACATACTTTCTATATGATGAAGGTTATTACTTATACACATGTGCCAATTGTTTCCTTGACCCTTTTCATGTTTTTTTACATGTTTAAATAAACTTTTTAAAAATTATTTTTGACAGTTGTTGCAAGTCTTAGTTCTGACCCTTAGCTTTCCTGACTTCATCTTTGCAGATTTTGGCTATATGCTGGTATTCTGTTTTAGATGTATGTCCCTCTTTTCATTTTTTATACATACCTTTTTTGTCTTTCGGTTTATCAGAGAGCTCTTTTTGTAACATTTATTTGACCAAATAAATCAAACCGAATAAATTTACTTGATCAAATAAATCATATATGCAGACTGATTTTCTCAAGTCGATATTATTTTGGTCAAGGTAAGGCCATTTCAATAATACATAAAACAAAAGACTTTTTCACATGCACATTTTCCCTTCTCTAATGAAAAGCATTTTGAAGCCAGCTAAGCAATTGTCTTCATTTCTGCTGGCCTCAGAATATTGAGAACAGGCAAGGAACAGCTGATCTAATCAGTATTTCTGCAAAGCCAAAAGTAGTACACAGAGAAAACCACAATGACATTCAATACCCCAGCATCTGACTTATGACAACTCATGAAATACAAAACCCCTGCACTTATTATCATTCCTTCTGCATATAAATTCCTTTTGGAAGTAATGGAGGTAGGCTGACATGAAAATTTAGCAGCCAGGTGATTTCTTCAGAAGCTGCACTCAGGGATATAGGCATGAGTTCAGTGTAAACTGTTTATCCAAAGAGGAAATTAAGAGGAATCTAATTGGCCTGAGTGGGAGGGAAGGTGGTATATTGGGCTCTCTGACTTCCACAGTATAAATCCTTAACCCTCCCATAACTCTGGAAGACCCTATATGATGATGCAGCTAGCAGCCATTTTAACCCAAGGAAATCTTACTCAGCCCAAATTTACTCAAGAACAGCTGGTAATCTCCCTCATTCATTACTTCCGTAGCTAACTGACATTATATATGGTCAGACTAAAGTGCTTTCCAGAATAAAAATCACTGATTAATTAAAAATTCAAGTACAAAGTTAAAGAATAGGAAGTGAATTGAAAGAAAACAAAAGGGAAAGGGAAAAGAGAACATCTCTGAAGAGATTAAATTTACAACACAAAGACACAAATGCACACAAAATGAACTCACAATTCTTCATTGTATAGTCCATAAAATAAAATCAGTATTCTAATGTGCATCCTACTTTCCACTATGCCTCAGATTGCTCTGCAATATCCTAATCTCAAAACCACACTTTTGTTGGTGGAAGCTTTTTATTTTACCTGGTTTTTCAGCCAGCCCTGGAAAAAAAAAAAAAACTCCAAGAAGAGCAAAGGACAATACATAGAGATCTACCTGAGAGGGAATCTTGCCAGTCAATGATTAGAATTTTATTTTTGCAGGCTTCAGATATTCCTACCTATCTAGATTGACAGGTAAGCTGTTGATTGACTGATCAGACAAAGATTGTCCTTTAGTATCTGAACTTATTAGGATTAACTTTCTTTCAATTCACTATAGTGGTCCTGGTTAGCACCTGAACTGGAATGATTACAGCTGGTTGTTAACTTTAAAATTCATGACACCCTTGAGTCCAACCAGTGGGACGTTGAGTGGCACAAAAGTTTATGTGAAAATCAAACTCCACCATGTCCCACAGGGTTCTTAGTGCCTACAGACTGCAAAGAAAAAAGAAAATAAACCATGCAATTTTATTTTGTACTGCAACTAAAGTGGATGTAAATCACCTCAGTGACCAGCCTAAATTATGCTATAAGAACATGAGTCTACAGCAGTTCTCAATCAAATGTAGAATCTTTGTGTGGACTGTGGGGAGAATCAGTCTTCAGATGAGTGGGATTGTTTAATAGACAAATTGAGACATAAGGAATAGGTCATTGAAGCTCACATGAGTTTTACCAGAACATTTCCATAGCAACCCCTGAATCTCAAGATGCAAATGTTTCTTCTAAATCCATTGTTCTCTGTAGAAAACAGGTTACTTCCTGCCCTTCTATTACTATGTTCATTATATTGTTACTTATGAGTATATATGCAGGCATTTCCCCCTAGTTTCTGAAATATGAGTGCAGCTCTTTGTCAGCAAGACTGTTTTTTCCCATTATTCTTTCAGAGGAGACCCCCTCCGATTATACTGTCTAATAAATCACTGTTGTAAGCCTTGATTATTTGCTTTAGGTACTATAGGTAATATAAAGCAATGACAAGGTAACTATAACAAATTCCCAATCATTTATATTTTAATGCTTTGTTTTGTTTTTATTCTGCTAGATAGAATGTGGGTTTAGTCTTTCTGAGATGTTATTGTCTATTAATGGGAGAAAATGGCAAGAAGGTGATGAGCAGCAGGAGGAAAGCAGAACTGCTTAATTATTATTATTTTTTGCATCTGTCTTTACACAAAAGGAAAAAATAGTCCAACCTATCAAAAAATACTGTAAAATGCAGATAAGGAATGCAAGTCAAAATAAGCAAGAAAATGGTAAGAGAACACCTATCCACTCTGGATGAGTTCTAATCACTGGGACAAAATGAATTACACCCCAAGGTTCTGAAGAAACTGGCAGACATGATCTCAGAACCACTGAACCATATCTTTCAAAGATCCTGGAATACTGGAAAACTACCAGAAGACTAGAAAAGTTGTAGTTCCCAT